AGGAGGCCTTCTTCTGCTTTTCAACAAATTAAGGGCCCTTCTTCAGTGACCACCAATGTATGAGGGCACTACAACACTGACCACCAATGTAAGGAGCTCTTCTCGACAGACCCGCATTGTAAGGTGGTTTTCTTACACTGACCACCAATGAAAGAGGGCCCGACTCCCACTGACTTCAGTGTAAGGAGACCCTTCTCCCACTGACCACCAATGGAAGGGGGCCCCTTCTCATACTGACCACTAATGTAAGGAGGCCCTTCTCAACTGACCACCAATGTAAGGAGAATTCTCCACTGACCACTAGTGTAAGAGGGCCTTTCTTTGCTGACAACCAATGTAAGGAGCCCTTCCCCATTGACCACTAATATAAGGGGGGATATTCTCCACTGACAACTAAATGTATGGAGGCCTTCTGCTGTCCACTAATGTAAGGGGCCCTTCTTCAGTCACAGTCAATTAAAGTCACAATCTACAACACTGATTACCAATGTATGAGGGCACTGCAACACTGATCAACAATGTAAGGGGCCCTTCTCCACTGGAACAATGGAAGGTGTTCTTCTTCCACTGACTTCCAATGAAAGAGGGCCCAAGTCACACTGACCGCAATGTAAGGGGGGCCTTCTCCCACTGACCACCAATGTAAGGGTTAATTATTAGAACCACCAGTGTTGGGGGTTACTTCTCAGTTGACCACCAGTGTAATGAACCTTTCTCCACTGACCACTTATGTAAGAGGGAACAACACCACTAACCACCGCTGCAGTAAAAGGCCACTTCTCCACTGACCACCAATGTAAGGGGACAACCACAAGACAATATTTCTAAGTAAGGGGAATCACCTTTATGACAGTTATCATAGAAACAAGTGTCTCCGTAGTGTGCTTCTATTCCTTTTCTGGTGATAACTCAAAATGTTGGATTTCCAGTCACTTTCTGTCTCAGTGACATTGGTCACCATACAAACAGAGAGGGTAAATTTCCCTAACGAAAGGCAGCACAGGCAACAATAAAGACCTGACAGAATCTAGCCCCTCACCACTCCATCCAAAACCAAAAAAAAAAAATGTTTAGGCTTTAGATACACTTTGAAATGTGATGCATTGCAAGTAATTTTGCTTCCATTAGATATTATTTGGCATTCCTTTAGTGCTATTGCAGCTTGATGAGTCAAGACTGATATATATTATTAGAGGGGATGAAGCTGCCTAAAAGTGCCCACTAGCGCCCCCTGGCTTGAGTCAATCCAGTGAGAATTGGGAGTTATAAGGGCTGAGATGTGACAGGACAACAATCGTTTACAAGCAATGAACATCCAAAGATTTTCCATATTATTTAGTAGTATATTAGCTGCTGTGTCACATCAGGATAACATACTGTATATAAAAAAATAAAACGGCGTTCCCTATCTGCGTTTCCTATCTGGATTCTTATTACAGCCTGGTATTATACAGCAGCCGATGTACTGTATGCCACAAGCTTACAGAAACATGTTTTCATTAATGGAAGATTTTCTCCTCCTGACTTCAAAGGAGTTTGGCTCTTTGATACAATGTATCAGCGGAGGAATGGGAGGAATCATTCTGTGTCTGTAGATAAGGTGTTATTGCAGTCAGGGGGGGGGGGGACGCCGCCTCAGTGACTTTCCGTTAGCTGAGATCGGGATTGGCGCATGTTGCACAACCTTCTTAATCCTCGGTACACAGGGATCTGATATTTTTCTGGCTCACCCAATTCGAACAAGACACGGCTGGGCTTAAGGAGCGGCTAAAACCGTTACTTGACAAAGAGCACGTATGATGTGGTTAAAGTGGACCTGTCTGCTGTAAGTAGGCCCGATGCTGCAAGGAAAGGGTGGCAGACTCTGGACTCTGGAGCGAAACTTGAACTATGAAATTGTTTTTTTTCCTGTAGTCATATAATTTGCCCAAACGGATTTGTAAAGGGAGGGAAATATGTATAAAATGCTACCTGTGTTGTGTTCTTATGAGTTAGGCATGCCGCAGCATGGTAGACTGGCCCCACGCATTCCATGCAAGGCCGGATTTCCCACAAGGCCAACCAAGGCCCGGCCTTGGGGCAGCAGGGGTGTGGAATTCCTATCTCCCCCGACGCCTGGGATATGCAGTTACGGGTGCCAGACGCGTAGTTCTTTTCTACATTTAGCCCTGCTTTGGGCAAGCAAAGCTAAATCTACAGTGGTGAAGCTGTCGCTTGTTTTGTACAAGTGATCCAGCCAATGTCGCAGAGATCACTTGTATGCAGACTACAGGTCTGCTATTCTCCATGGGGGTAGGGGGGCCCATTAAGGGACCTGACCTTGGGGCAGAAGAGAGAGTAAATCCAGCCCTGATTCCATGATGCTGTGGCCAAGGGTGTCCCTAGCCTTTTTTTTATGGCACTTACACATCTGCCTGCCTGGCCCTTAGCAATGTGGGACACTCTGGCCGTAAAGGGGGGCGGCAGGCACACTGCAAACATTGTGCAGCAGAGCGACCATGCTGTCTCGCCTGCCGCCTCCCCATGTGACCCTACAGCATGGTAGACTGTCCCCACTCATTCAATGATGTTGTGGCCAAGGGTGTCCCTAGCCTTTGTTTATGGCCCTTACACATCTCTCTGCCTTACTCGTAGCAACCTGGGACACTCTGGCCGTAAAGGGGGCGGCAGGCACACTGCAAACATTGTGCAACAGAGCGACCATGCCGCTCTGCCTGCCGCCTCCCCACGTGACCTCCAGCATGGTAGACTGACCCCACCCATTCCATGATGCTGTGGCCAAAGGTGTCCCCAGCCTTTTTTTATGGCCCTTACATGTCTCCCTGCCTGGCCCTTAGCAACCTTGGATGCTCTGGCTGTAAAGGGGGTGGCAGGCACACTGCAAACATTGTGCAGCAGGGTGACCATGCCGCTCTGCCTGCTGCCTCCCAACATGACCTTCAGGATGGTAGACTGGCCCCACCCATTCCATGTTGCTGTGGCACTTCAAATGCCTGACTGATATAACCGATGTATGACTACTTTCCTGGTCAGCTTCCAGTATCATGTTTATTATCGGCAAGCTCTTGTCTCACCAGCCCCTGAACTTCACAGTTCTGTGTGTGTGTCCTCACAGGCAATAATCAAACAAATATACATTGCCCATCAAAGTGTTTATTTAAGATTTTGACCAAATGCTTACAGTCATCATGTTTCCAAGCAGTTCCAACTCTCTCAGCTCAGCTTCCCTGAACTCTCTGTCCTGTACAAGATCACAAGAGACATTACAGTCTCCAGCAGTCGCAGGGAAGAGCGAGGAGCAGAGAGCAGGGGATTGGTTTGCCTTGCTGTGCCTATGTGCCAGGCACAAGGGTGGCACCATAGGACAATGCAAGGGAAAGGAGCCACCTTAAAACAGGATATCAGGACCAGTGCTCAGGGGACCAGCTGATTCTGCAGGCAACTAAAAATTTTAAACATGAAAAGGCAGAATGCAATTATTTCATCAGCATCTGAAATAGCTTTAAAACCTTTTTGACTTTAAAGTGGATTTTTAAGTAATTCAGCATGTCTGCATTTCTAACTAGCTGGCATGCCACAATATACAACAGTTTATTAAAAAAAAATCTCTGCCTGTTATTATTCAAAAGAAATAATTGAGTTTCAGTCCAGTGACTTTGCCTAGGTTGAGATGATGTCATCAGTCTGCTGCAGGCAGGAGGATGCATTTCCTCAGTCCCCTCTTCCTCAGTGATCAGACTGCAACTAAGTTCAAGAAAGGAAAATCGTGGCACTCCAAAAATGTGTGTCTTTTATTTCATCAATCCATAATTAAGAACATTTAGAGATGTTATTCTGAGATGTGTTTATGAATGCTGGTGGAAAGTATGTGTATCTTGCTGGACTCCTTACCGGATTTCTAGAAAAGATGCATGTAGATGGGTTCTCGCCGTGACCACGGAGGCACCGTGAAAAATATGAAGTTGTAAGGATGTCACCAGCACACCAAGTTGTTAAATTCAGCAAATATCCATTTTAATGACAAGCATTGTACTTCAATAGCAAGTACTTTCGGGGCCTCGCAGGGTACCCGTCATCAGGCTTATTCTGAGCCTGATGACGGGGACCCTGCGAGGCCCCAAAAGTACTTGCTATTGAATGACAATGCTTGTCATTAAAAAGGATATTTGCTGAATTTAACAGCTTGGTATGCCGGTGACATCCTTACAACTTTATGAATGCTGGTGTTCTGTCGAAAGCTCCAACTCATTGAGATCTCCAACTACCTCACTTTCGGTGCTCAGAAAGACTGGCGCTCTGTACAGTTGCGGTGCGCATGCGCGCATAGCGTTTTCTGAATACTCGTCAAGTTTGCCACCTGCTGAATATTGTTCCATCAGTCTTTGTGTTTTGCAGTCTAACGCCGTCTGGTCGTAATCTCCAACTTACAAGTACCTGGCAGTGAGGTAGTTGGAGATTTCGACGAGTTGGAGCTTTCGATAGAACACCGGATTGATGAAATAAAAGACATGCGCAGATTTTTGGAGTGCCGCGACTTTCCTTACTTGCAGTTAGTTGCATTGCTGGTAACGAGGCAGGCATGCACGCAACAAGCAGAGACATTTGAGCAGCACTTATCTTTCATATATTAGATTTGTAGATTTTCAGCAAGTCACAAGGTGAGAGGCTGCAGCAGGGCCTGATCTGTGTCATAATTTGTGAACACAGCCAAGAACTACGCAAACACCAAGATTTCCATGGATGTGTCATCTCTGAGCTAACATCTCAGTCCAGGAAGTAGACTGTGACCCTGGATGATGCCTGAACAAAGATGGCTCCATCTTTCTAGAGAGAAAAGCAAATTAAGCCATTGTCATTGTGTAATAAATACTTGATGTTAGACTGACTTATTACTTAGAATGTATACATTTAACAGGAAAAAAGAAATCTGGTGACAGGAACGCGTTAACGTGCTGTGTTTTCCACTTCATCTAGAATATATCCTTCATGTTCTTTTCCAGAGATCTCATTTCGTGTGTGGATGTGCGGGGGAAGCCTGGAGATCATCCCGTGTAGTCGGGTGGGTCACGTGTTTCGAAAGAAGCATCCCTACGTGTTCCCCGAGGGCAACGCCAACACGTACATCAAGTAGGTACACTATTACCTCTGCCGGTAATGAGCGCAGCGCCCGGGGACGCAGCTGTGTATTATTTGCCTTTGCAGGCATGCGGCATATCGCTGTGTCGAATCAGCTCGGAAATTGATTTTTCACACACTGTGACATTGTTAATTAAGAAGTAACAGCATCTAGAAAACAATCTCTTCTGCTCTTATCTCGCCTTACAAGATTAAAATCAATACGTTTTCATAAGGCCACTTGACAGGGGTTAAATACATTGTATCACTTCATATCTGTCTCCTCATGCAAATAGCGTTGTCACTTTCCTCAGCCAGGAAGAAAATAGACAACAGCAACAATAATAATAGAACGTAACATAGTATACGTTGAAGTTTAATCTGTTTATATTGTCCTTCCTTGGTTCCTCCTTTGCCCCCGTCATCAACATGCAAGTGACATTTTGAAATCAAAGCTTTCTGTTTTCATTACATACTGTATCTTATTTTAGACCCAATGGTGTTATCACTGGGTCTCTGTGCTTCTCTATTTCCCAATCCCTCTCTTCCATTCATTCTCGTTTGTTCACTTTATTCTGTTGCCATGGGCATACAGTTATTATCTAGGGTAGGGTAGGGAAGGGCGAAGGAGGCCTTCAACAAGCTTTCCAGGCACCACCAGATCTTTAAACACCGGAACATGCTCCACCAGAACGGTCAGGGATTTGTTAAGGCAAACAATTGCTGCATAAATATTGAGTACCGCCTACTTTTTGAGGAATGTTTCCTCTAAGGGGTATCGTTGTGCAAACAGCTTCGGAGAAGCAAATATTTTCTCAGGAATCTGCATAAAGCATAAAAACGCGCAACATAAGAACGCACATAAAAAGTGTAGAAATGCTGAGGCTGAGGTGTGAACCAAGCCTTAGGGTGATCAGGCACAGGTGGGTCAATGGCTAAGCACTCCCTCACCTCAACATTTCATGGGTCTAGTACTGGAATCTGTTACATGCTACTATTCATGCAAAGCACACTGGGAATCCAGGAAGTTGTTGGTAGTGATGGGCAGACGTAAGGCAGCACTCACTATATAAAAGGGATTTTTTCCAGTAAGCTTTGATTACATTATCAAAAACAACTATATATGTATTCCTATTAGAATGCTGATGTTATAACAGGAGAGGATATGTTGGGACTTTACAGCTCCTCTAATATACTATAACCTGTGCACATAACCCTTCTGCTAAATCCAGGTATCATTAACATTACATATCATTAATATAATTTATTCATTTAATATACAGTATATTAATATAACACCATTTCTTCAACACCAATCAAATACTTGGCCTTCCATTGCTGGCCTCATTCAAAACGTCCTAGCTGCCTGGTTACTATAAAAATCTCAAGAGACCCTGTCCCCAGACCAGTCATTCTCATAAGATTACATGAGCATTGAATGTATTTTACCTGTAAAAGCCTCCCTTGTGTAGACACCCAAAAGCGCTGAGACTGCTGATGGGCTCTGCCATCTTAAACGTGATGGCAGCAGCTTCGTCACAATCAAGTGACAAACTTCAGACTTCCAGCTGTTGTGCAACCACAAGTCCCATGAAGAACTGCAAGACTGACAGCCATAGGCATCACTCCCAGAGGCAGATGCATGATAGAATTTGTAGTTCCACCACAGCTCCTCCAGCCCTCCGCTTAAGTCTGCCTACCCCTGCTCTATAATATTTCCCTTTACTCCTCCCCCCACAGCTACATAAAAGGTTATATAAAGGAGGTGAGGGGCTGAGGAGCTGGCCAGCACAGGCAGTTATCAAATACTTCCAGAAGAGAGGAGGGCTATGATGTGCACTAGGGATGCACCATTATCGACTCCATGCTCTTTTGCCGGCTCAATGCTGATTGACCGGAAAACCGTCTTCCCAGCCAATCAGGAAGTCGGGAGGCAGATTATTACCCGTCGCCCGGCTTCCTGATTGGCTAGGAAGCCGGGTCCATGCTCTTTGGCCACCTCAATGCTGATTGGCTGGGAAGCTGGCTCCATGTTCTTTCGCGGCACTGCCGGTCAGAGAAAATCTCCCTCTGACCAGAGGGAGATTTCTGGGTAGATTGGAAAAAAAAAAACAACCAACAAGCTTTCTGGGTAAAATCTAATATATTTTTCAAGACAGTTCCGAAAACTAAATGGAAACTTTTCTTTTGAAGCTCATTTACCAGACATGGCTTTGCTCTCTGGCCCACCTGCAGGGCTTGGAAGATCCAGGAGAAGATATTATTAATGCAGAGATAGCATGGCAGGTGTTGTGTGTGACACACTGGAGCAAGTGTTCTGCCATCTTCCCGCATCCCGCCATAATTAATTTTTGAGAGAGTGAACAGCAGGTGCATGCTTAATGAAGAAATACTCATTTACATTCCTATTTCCAGATCTCATGCAAAGTTTTCCTGCGTGTGCCGCTGTGGCCCTGCTGCCTTCCTCCGCTTAACATATGCTGCACAGTGTCAATATTTCTTCAGAAATATTACACTTTGTCTTAAAGCCTAATTGAAGTCTCCGGATTTTTCTTCCCCCCTCTATAGTCCTGTACTGCTGCATGTGATGATTTCAGATTCCTGTTTGCTTAGAAATTCCTTAAAATACATTTTTGTTTGAGCGGAACCAGTGCTCTTTCCTGGCGGAGCTGAGTAACAGCCACACACCTCATCTCAAGTGTACTCACACAGACTTGTAATGCAGAGGAGTGAAAGGAGGGGTCTGACCAGGTCTTTTAGATCTTAGAGTGCACTGGGCAGGCAGACATCCCAACTCTCCCGGACGTTTCGGGAGTCTCCCGCTCCCACCGAGAGAGAAACGTTTTCTCCCAGAAAGTCATTCAGAGGGAAAAAAAACAGCATAGGAAAGAATTGCTAGGCTTCTATTGGCTATATCAATTTGCAATACCATAGCCAATAGCAGACTAGCTATTGCAAATGTATTAAACCACCTCTCTTGTGTCATAGCAGTTCCACATACAGTAAGAGGCTCATTATAAAGGCGGGAGTGGGGCTTTAAAGAAGAGCTCCCATTACTGTAACTCAAATACCCAAAGTGCAAAAACAAAATTTGTAGCTCTATCTGTAATACTCACATCTCTCCAGCACCGTCCTACCTATACTCACAACTCAATCCCATTCTGCCAGTCCTCTTACCCAGTGACATTTAACCCACTTCCTGTGAGCCCAGGCTGTCATGAACACCCCCCCAGAGTGGATAATCATACAGGAGGACTGGAGGGGATCCATGAGTTCTGCTTTAAAAGTTTAACAACCAGTAATTCTGGGGGTGAAAATACCATAACCTACTAAGATTAAGAAATAACAACATTTAGTACTGTTCAGTTCCACAGTCAGTCTTTGCAAATTGGGATTGATGAAATTTGAAAGGTTGGGATAAAATTTACTGCAATCCATTACCTTTCTTTGAAGGCCTTGTAATAGAAAATGTTATTGGAGGTCATTCTACACAAGATTAATTTCTCTGTTTTGATGAACCAAAGCGGGGTTGAGTTCCAAGCTTGTTTGCCTCCCTCCGGTACAGGGATTTGGCGATCACTGCCCATCTCCAGTGTAGATCATTTCAGGCAAACTGCTATTATTGCCAAAGTAAGTCAATACTCTTTATATTTGTACAAAGAATCTAGTATAAAGTATATGGTACCGCATTCCCGTTCCTTCTTGTGGATTCCTCACAGGGATAAGTGAGGGGCATAGCAGTGACAATGAAATAGTAGCTTGGTCTTACCTTAAATGATGTCTCTTAATCCGATCTTCCTCTTCTTTCCTGATGTTTTCATCTGTCCCTCCAGCGGTTCGGCGGCTCTCCGATCCAGCGCTGACTCCTCTCTGCTAGCAGGCACTTCCGATGCAGCGGTGTCTGCATGCAGGTGCACGCGTCCATACACTTACCTTGCGTCTGTGCTCGTCTCCCGGCCGAGAATCCGAACTGAGCATGCGCCCGCCCCAAGATGCTTTGCGGCCGCCCGAGCAGTTTCGTTTTCTCGGACAGGAACGCGCAGCCAAAACAAGGTAAGTGTAAACCGCTGTTAAAGCGTTTTTTGTTTTTTTAATAGATAGCAGTAGATATAGGCAAAAAAACAGAGGGTTTAGAACCCCTTTAAGTTTCACAGTGAGCATATCATAGTCCCGTTGGAGGGTGGAGTGGAGCGGGGATGGATTTCCTTGATAGGGTCATTGAGAGCAGTAAAGACACACCATGGTCTTGAATGCTCCCCACTCAACCCAAAGCGGAAACATAAGCTTTAGTGTGAAGTTAAGCTCTATCTTCATTATAACAGAGGACATTTTGGACTGTGAGGAGCTGCTAAAATGTTTTATTCTGACTGTGAATCCGTTTGTGCTATCGATACTGTCTGTACTCAGCAATGACAATTCTGACACAGAAGGCAAACATTACTGATAACTGCTTTCCTGTCACCCTTCAGGAACACCAAACGCACGGCAGAGGTATGGATGGATGAATTCAAAAACCATTACTATGCAGCACGCCCGGCCGCCCAAGGGAGACCTTATGGAGAGTATGTATCTACAGAGCTGCCAGCTTCTTTTATAGAATAAAGAGTAAGACTCCTAAGTATTTATTCAGTAAGATGGTACAAAGGACCTTTATGTTCTGTCTCCCAAATCAGCCATTCAGATGTCTTCCGCTTTTGGTTACCATGGCACATCATAGCTCTCGTTACTGCGCGGTAAAAGCGATGCCATTTAACGATTCACAGATGTTTCTGACCCCACCGTGTTGTAGAAGAGAGAATTCCTCACACTCATTGTTAAGCTGTCATAAGAAACTTAATGGCTTAAAGAGATCCTGTCAGTCTTTAAAAAACCATAATAGCACTCCCTTGCAAAAGAAGTGGTATTATACTCGCCTCTCTGGTGGGTCTGTGTCTCCAGCCTTCCCTCCATTTCAGTGCTGCAGCCTTCATCATAATTTTCACTATTTAATTCAACCTTCAACACATTGCATGCTGTGGTTCCATCCTCCAATCCCTAGGGCACTACAGGGCTCACTCAGGGCACGTGTCTTAAGGGAGGCTGAATGGCCAGATCAGAAGAAAGATAAGAGCCAACTAGAGATATAATATCTCCTAAGCCAACTAGAGATATAATATACCACCTCCTCTTTTGCAGAGGAGTGCACTTTGTTTTAGAGACTGGCAGGGTCGCTTTAAGGTATAACTAAACCCAGAAGTAAACATGTAATATACCGCAGCTTACCTGATATGGTGGCTGCATTTCTATTTTTAGGCTATAAACCTTTTCAGAAAGTACTCATAATAGCTGTTGATCTTGCCAGAAATGCTGTGTCCTTGCCACTTCCTGTGAACTGACTTGGATGTATAAAACAATGAAGAAAGGCAGACATATTTGTAGTCCAGCCTGAGTAACAACCATGTCTTCCTACTTCCTACAGTGGAAAAGTGAGTGTTGCCACCCTGACAGAAAGTGAGTTATTCTCAGGATTACCTGGTAAAAATAAAGATAACAAAGCCTAGAAAAAAAGAAACCGCATGCAGACACCACATCTAAGCATTGGCAAGCTGCAATACTTAACAGTTGTGTATTTGGATTTAGATGGCATGACATTAAAAGGATCCAACTACAATACATTCTTATTACCGAAGAGCTCCAGATAAACAGCTAAATTCTAGAGAGGAGCAAAGTGATTTAAATTAATTTAATTTTGGCACAAAATTACACATTTTGCGTTTGCAGAAATGCAAATTTGCTTGAAAAGAAAATCACATGGCTTTGTATTATGCATTCACCATGTCGGAGCTTACCCGGCAATAGATGGCTCTGCTGATAAATTGACATGAAAACTTTTATATAGCTTTTTTGCCCATTTGTATGAAAGGTTAGGGTTCCTAGCTAACAAGGTGACAACAAGAATTCCAGGATTGTTAAATGGATCTTCCCTAGAGCTTAGTAGTCATGTTACTCTTAAAAGCTCCCAAAACCACCTTTATTTTTCCTTTACCATGGACTCCAATGGGTTTCACCAAAATTTTGTTGAAGTGAAGCAAAAACTCCCATTTTCACTCATTCCTACTAAAGACATAACTAAACTTCATTTGTGAACTGTTTTAGCTGTAACATTATTTAGAATTCTGTCAACCAACCACAAGCCTGCTTTTGGAGTTTTTAGGATATAGGAAGACAGTTGGTGAACCATCTTTGGTTGACCACTAGGTTGGTTGGTCATCTGGTTGCACAGGGTGGTGGGTGAGCACAGCTGGAGTTTCAGATAAATCTAACTATTACAGTAGGTATGAGGGACCTCTGGCAATTGCCCTCAGATGCTTGTCCTTCAGTTTCCTCTCCACCTCACCGCGCTGGAAATCTCCTACCCAACTATTTATCAAGATTTTGGGGTGGCAAGGCATAAAAGCAATTCTATGTTTATAAATTACAGGTGAAACTCGAATAATTAGAATATCGTGCAAAGTTCATTTATTTCACTAATGCAACTTAAAAGGTGAAACTAATATATGAGATAGACTCATTACATGCAAAGCAAGATAATTCAAGCTGTGATTTGTCATAATTGTGATGATTATGGCTTACAGCTCATGAAAACCCCAAGAACCCCAAATCCACAACCTCAAAAAAGTAGATTATTACATGCAATCAATAAAACAAGGATTGTACATAGAACAATATCGGACCTCTGAAAAGTACAAGCATGCATATGTACTCAGTACTTGGTTTGGGCCCCTTTTGCAGCACTTACTGCAATTACTTTTGCACGATATTCTAATTATTCGAGTTTCACCTGTAGAAAGAGAATGAGCACAATTTGATACAAATGGGCTTGTGGAGTCTAAGTCCAAGACCAACCAAAGAACAATTGGCAGGGAGAGATCTGCCTATTCTTGCCTAAATCATGCAATCTGGATCCTACACATGAATGTTACCCTTATTCACCCTAAAGTGAACCTGTGCATTATTCATTCAAGGTGAAGCAATTGGTCCACTTTAATGCCTCCTTCTCAGCAGCACATACTCACTTCCCTTTCACTCCAACCACTGCTTATTTCGCCACCGAGTGCAAAGAGAGGAAGCCCTGTGTGAGCTCTGAGTACTCTTGTCATTGCTTGCACAGTGCGAAAGACTATCTCCCATTAGCCAATCAAAAAGCACTAGCACCGTCACATGAGAAAAAAGGGAGTCACATAAATGAAAGTACCAAGCATATTCTCTTCGTGTGGCCGAATGGAGCAATGGGAGATCAAAATAAATATAATGCTGAAAAGAGTGGCATTAAAGTGAGCTGTTCTTTTTTCCTGTGCCGGCAAAGCACAAGCTTGCTTTAAAATGGACCTCGCAGAAAAATGTCTGTCCGGACCCCTTCCCCGTTCACAAATCACTCAGTAGGTCTAAAATGCACCTGTAAAGAAAAAAAAGTTAGGGTTAATTTTTACCTCATCCCCCTCTTCTGCAAAGGACTGTCCGAACTTGCAGCCATACGCATGGAATCAGTATGTGTCTAGGGGCGATCATCTGCAAGCAATCACTGTATGTCCAATTACAAAAGAATGAGCTTCTGGGGTGCTCTGTACAAAATACCATTGCAGTGGTTGCACAAAAAATTAATATTTTGGGGGAAGGTAGCGTTTTAGAAAATGATAGCTAGCTGTGGGCTGAAATGGAAAAGTCATTGCAATAATATGACATTAACAAAATCTTTCATAGAATTTATGCCCATTATATTGTTTTTTTGTGTGGAATCTTCTTCAAAAGTCCATGGGGTGTGTTCACTGAAATATAGATTTTAACAGAAGCTTTGCTTTATGTCTTACTTCTCTAATTTATATTGTTATACTCATTTTATGTCCACTCCATATCCCATAATGCATCACTGCACTTTATTCGCTCCAATGTATTGGCCTGTGCTTCCAGTCATCAGCGTAGTATGAAACAAAGACAAACAGCTCCCATTTACCGTAATACATGATTTAATTGTGCAAATTGCTCCTAGGTAATAGAATAAAGCAGGAGAGCCCATATTCATAAATTAGACGGCAAGGCCAATTATCTTTGAATTACATCGCTGGTAAAAGTATTTGGAATGTTGCAAACAATCAGGTTGTAACCCACTTACAGCTGATGTCTGCATTAGATTTAATGGACTGTGTTCATTAAGCTTCACGCAGTTGTACAGAGCTTAAAATACTTCATAATAACTTCTGACGGGGAATAAAAATATCGCCCTTACTTCCTGTTGTCGGTGTTTACAGAATTGAAAGGCGCTGAAAGGATTTAAAAGTTGTGTTTTGTTGACCACAATGTATTTGTCAGTGGAGGGGTGGTGGTGCTAAAGGAGGGGGTGGAGCACACTGCTGGGCAGCACATGCAAGTGATCGAATAGATAGAGAGCCGCCAATCGTTTGTATATGTAACAGCCATTACTGGCTGTTTACACCTGTCAGTTAGGGGGCACTCGTGAGCAGAAAACAAAAAAGCGTATATTTACGGCACCCCACTGGAAGGAGCTTGCCGTCGGTTATATACAACGAACGGATGGCAAATAGTTAACCTGTGCAACCTCAGGACACTTGGCCATTAAGTCGTGATGGCATTACCGTGTGTCCCAGTGTGGATGATCGAACTGTGTGCGGGAGGTGCCTTTGGGGTGCCATTCAAATGAACTACAATGGGTGGTAGGTGCGATTGCATGGTACAGTACATTAATTGCACTGGACTGTGCGATTAACTTACTGTACTAGTGTGAATGGGCCCTCAAAAACACTGGCAGACACACACTACCACGAACACAACCTTACGCACTCTCAGACATTCTCAAACACACTCTCTTTTCTTTTCACCCAGTCTCCCTGCCTTACAAGAACTACAGTGGATGCTCAGCCTGGGGTCCAGTGTGAGCTGCTGTGCTGTGACAGATCTCCATCCATATGTGCATTGCTTGTACAACTCCCTTGCATGCCCTGTAGAGGTGCCGGGAGCCAGAATGTGACGTCACTTTGGTCCAGGCACCTCTACAGGGCATGTAGGGAGCCATACCCAGAAGTATAGAAGACCTGTACTGTCCAGCATAAAGAATAATACTGATTTTAAACTACAGATCAGTGATCCAGCCATGGCATACACTTTAACAGAGGTCACATTTGTTTACAAACTGGAAGTTACAAAAATCACTGTGAGTGTTTTTTTCAAACAAATTTCACCTGAGCGGATAATATTGCAAATATAATTTTAATTTCACTAACATTTCAGCACGGTAAAGTTGGTAATTCCACAGATAAAGCTATTTCGCTAAAATTATTCAGCAAAATCCTAGGTGATGATTTACAGGTTCAGCTATCATTCACAACCTCAGATATCACTATGAGGTCAAGCTTTTCCACAACCTTCCTTCAGCTGCCGCTTAAACCTTAGGTGGAACTTACATTTATAGGTCATGGTGATGAGTTGAGGCAAGAGTCATTGCTTCATTGTTTACACCAGTGGTTGTCAGCTTGTAAGGTATTATGTTTTTATTATGTATTTATGGGGA